CCCCCCCCCCCCCCCCCCCCCCCCCCAACGTGGAAAGTTTGTATCGCGTGGCAGATATCTCCAGCGCGCAATTTGGATGCTTTCTGTATATAATTACTATTAAATTTTTGAAATCTCTGGCATGCAATTTCCAAACTTTCCAGTCAGCGGGTCCGCCACAGAACCGTAATCAAATTACGTTCAGAATAAAATTACTGAAATGAATCTAAAATTATAAAATGTGACAGGATGAAGTATGTGGAATGTACAGATAGAATATAGACATGCAGATGTTTGTTATTGTTTATATATAATATAAGAATGTTTTTGGTTAGCCAAAGTGAGCGCTCAAAAATCTGAATGAGTGTGGCAGAAAGCTTGGGAATTTTTTTCTTTTTTGGTAACATATCTTGCAGAATTTTCACAATATAAATTGACTGTACTGCTTATTGCACTCTTGCTCCATTGGACTTGTTTTTATGTGGTGATTTTCTTAAATGTTTTGTGCACAGTAGGTATAAGGATAGGATGATGTTGGGATCAAGATCAAAGAGAAATATATTTATATATGCACGAAACATGAGGATGTAACCATCGTGTGCGCCTGCCATGCTAAAACAGACAAACATGAAAACAGGACCATTGGGGTAAAAGTGCAATAAACAATAAGGTCTATGCGTCTATTGTTATTTATTTAATATTTATTTATTTAGCTTCGCCTATAATTACACAATCAAACAACATGTACACCCAACCATTTCTCTCCAACCCCAAAACGCGCAAACTTCAACGCAACATACATGATTGTAAAATTAAACCTAGGACGGTTTAATTTTACAATCATACACATGCATTTTAACATGCTTGAATTTTATGAGCCCAACACTGGAAAATACGTTATGTGGCTAGGGTGAACACCAAACCTTATTGGCTGCATGATTTGTGGTCACATGGCTTTAGATAAATGCAATGTATCCTGCGGGCAACAATTGGTGAAAAATTGTTGCCTGCCCCGACCGGCTACATATATAAATAAACAAAATGGCGTCACAACTCGCAAGTTTATAAATAAAACTACGATTTGCCAAATTTGCGTTAAAGTAAAGAATGTAAAAGAGAAGAAAAATACACAACAGACAACAGGATATATGCTGTTGAAACCGTTTACATTGGGTTCTTTTAAATTTTAAACTCATTTACACACTATACTGCAGGGGCCGGTTGTATCAAGCCCGTTTAGCTTAAACGGTGGATAAGTCAAAATTAAATAACACTCTTATGTTTTTCGTGAATCAGTCAACTTAAATATTTTGCACTGAATGTATAGTTGTAAACATTATCGTTCTATTAAGGTTCAAAACTTTTAGTTTGGTTGTTTAATGAATCTATAGACTTGCTTTCTATTTTGAGCTTAACCACCGTTTAAGCTAAACGGGCTTGATACAACCGGCCCCAGGGCTTGAAATTTGTAGCCTGTCTACAGACGTTACCACAGACGAATAAAGATCAGTAACATAAGGGCCACTCAGTGGTGCAACGTGTCCTCGTTTTTTTATGCAGAAATATGCAGTTTAGGGACTGGTCATAAAGTATTTACTAGGGGGTGTGGAGGATATTTTTGGGGGGTACGAAAAAAAAGAGAACCTCTGAAGGGGGGGGGGTACGAAAAAACAACATAACCTCCAGGGGGGTACCAAAATCTTAGTACTATAGGTACGGAAAAAAATTACATTTTATAACTATTGTTGAATGTTGAAAGTATTTGTGCCCAGATTTAAGTTTGGAAAGAATTGCTTTACTAATTTGATTAAATTAAATCAACACAAGGTATATGTTTTCGTCTGACTCATTGTCATATGATAAGTAGGATTCAGTATCCGTTGAACTTTTGGAGTACAAATCTGATACACCTGAATTGTCAATGCTAGCAAGCTCACACCGGCATTAGAACTTGATGAACCTGATGAGGAAGTGTCATATTGAATGGAAGCAAATGTTTTCTATTTGAAATAAACCAAAAACAAATTTTTCTGTTTGATCTTACCCTCAGCCCATCGCTAGTATGTCAGAATCAGAAAAGACTGGTGACGAATCGGAGACTGCGGAAAATGTTGAGGATATGGTTACCACTACAAGAAGTGGGAGAGTTATCACAAACTGGAGAGTTTCGAATGAAACTCCGATCATCTGGAGAGTTTCGAATGACCTCCGATCATTCGTAATCGTTTGTCTGTTTCATCCTTTAAGCTCCAGCTCCATTCTCACTACTCTTCTCAATTAGACTCTTCTTTCGATGTTAACAGAATGCGCACTTGGAAAACCTACTGCTCTAAATGCCGTTCTTTTAACTTAAGCTGTTGCTCATAATCTAAACTATTAATTTTTATACAGTTATGTAAATA